GTCTGTGTGAGGTGAAGACAAGAAGGAGTTTCCTTGAAAAACTGTACTTGGACCTCTTTCCCGACATGTCCAGCAACACTTTCAATTTCCTTTTCCAGTTTTTCACTGTAGGAAGAAGCATTATTTTGACTGCCCCCAGAAATTGTAATTTTCTCTAAAGCAGATGAAATTAAACTCGAGAGAGCAAGCTGTGCTGTTAAGGTAGCAGTAATGGCGTATTTTCATTCGTACTTAAGTTGAGAAGGATGATGTGATGAACAAGGTAGGACATTCATCTTTTAATTATCAATTTAACATCCTTTCTGTACTTTAATTTCTGTGCAGTTGATTGGATCCAGGTGTCCTGTTTACAGAAAAGTTCTAAAAGAATTTTCCACGTACTCCTATTCTGCCCCACTAAGCTAAAAGTTGATGGAGTATATTGTCTATGTTACAGTAGCAGGCAACAAACCTATCAATGTAGAAAAAAATCCTTTTAATTTCAGATTTGCTATCTAGTAGTGGCCTCCTTTGCCATCTGATTAATTATTCCATTACTATAGCATCAGGAAAAAGATTCAAATAAAGTGCGGGATAAGCCAGTTTCAGAGGTTAGCTGTATTTTATTATGCCATCTCAACGTTATTGTTGGTCTCTAAGGTGCCACTCTGCCCTGCCTTCTGCCCAGTGTTATTTTGAGGTGGACTTCCGGGGTCCTTGCTAAATGTGTAGGAAATGCGTTATTACTAGGGATTCTGGTTTTTCCCAATTTAAAAAAAAAAAATAAAAAAAATTGCAAATATATATCAGTTGAACACAATGCTTTCTTGATATATTCACAATTTCAAAGCAATTTGGAAACCTACCAGTGCCTCAATCACTATATAAAAAAAAATTCTAAATACCTATACATTTTTGGTATTTGATTTTGGGTCTTTTATCATGAAAAATTAGAGCTCCTTCTGCCCCTTTAGCTCACAGAATGCAGGTCCAGGCCCTTCAGTCCCAAGCCACAGCCCCCCAGCCCTGCCAGTGCCCCTCAGCCCCCCCAACCATGGCCACTCTGTG